ATTTCTGAATCTTGACTGTAAGTTCAAAGCAAAAGGAACTGTAGCCTCATAATTTGGTTATGTTATTTGCATTCCACTTCAACATTCCTGTGGTTCTGTCATTTTTTTTTTTTTTTTAATCAAATTCTGGTGGTAAATGAAAACCAAAGAAATGGAAGAGTTTTTAAAAGTGAACTTCAATGCTAAAAGGTAGCAAATCATAGAACGGCCAAACTCTGCAAAATAATTAAATAAAAGGAAGCATTTTATTCCATGTTTCGCTTTGTTAGCTAGAAGCTCCCTTTCACTGTTATCTCTGGTTTTGCTCCCAGTTCTGGAAGTTGGGTAGGCAGCTTTCCCAAGAAATGAGAAGAACATGACAGGGCCTGCTCGCTGTTGGCATATAAGCATATCTAGGCTACATTTAGGGGCACAATGCTAGTCTGCATACACCTTCACCCTGTAATTAACTATTGCTAGTGTAATAGGGTTCTCACCTCCAAAAAATCGTTTTTCTTTTTTTTTTTAGACGGAGTCTTGCTGTGTCACCCGGGCTGGAGTGCAGTGGTATGTTCTTGGCTCACTGCAACTTCCACCTCCCAGGTCCAAGCTATTCTTCTGCCTCAGCCTCCAAAGTAGCAGGAACTACAGTCGTGCACCACCACACCCTTTACCATATTGGCCAGGCTGGTCTCAAATTCCTGACTTCATGATCCACCCGCCTTGGCCTCCCAAAGTGCTGGGATTACAGGCGTGAGCCACCACACCTGGCAAAAATAATCTTTTAAGGAGTTGTTTTTCTGATTTTCAAAGGGACTATTCTACTGAATCATTGAATTCTATGAGTATTCAAAACTTTTAAACTTTACCTTGGTTTAGTTTGTTTTTTATTTATTAAGGACGATTACATAGCTAATTAGCAGACTACCTGGTACATAATGATATCTACATGAGTTCGTCGTTGTTGTTGTTGTTGCTTTGCAGGTTTTTTGAGACTCTGTCACCCAGGCTACAGTAGCTACTGTACTCACCCAGAGTACAGTAGCAATCAGGGCTCACTGCAGCCTCAACCTCTCAGGCTCAAGTGATCCTCTCACTTCAGTGTGCCAAGTAGCTGGGACCTCAGGCATGCTCTGCCACCACAAGCAGCTAATTTTTTTTTTTTTTTTTTTTTTGTAGAGACAAAGTCTCCCTATGTTGCCCAGGCTGGTCTCAAACTCCTTGGTTTAGGCATCCTCCTGCCTTGGCCTCCCAAAGTGCTGGGATTACAGGTGTGAGCCACTATACCCAGTCCTAAGTGACTTTTTAAAAGATAAGAGTTACCAAGAGTTTAAAAGCCTAAATCATTATTACTAGCAGTTGTTGAGCACTTGTTAAACGCCATGTAATGTACTAAGGGCATTTATTTATGCAGGATTCATTAATTCAATGTATTCCTATTTTCTGCCTATTCTAGGTCCTGGAGAACAGCAGTTAAGCAAAACAAAATCTTTCATAGAGTTTATATTCCAGCAAGGAAGCAATCAACAATTAAATAAGTCAAATATAAAGCATGTGTGATGAAAATAAGTGTTACGGAGAAGTAAGTGGAGAAGGGAAAGACTGAGTGACTGTGTGTGTGAAAAGGTCTCATCCAATAAGTTGACAAAAGAGCAGAGGCCTGAAAGAAAGGAGGTGGTCTAAAAGTGGATCTCAGTCTGGGCAACATGGCAAAACCCCATCTCTACAAAATAAAAATACCAAAAAATTAGCAGGGGGTGGTGGCATGCACCTGTGGTCTCAGCTACTTGGTGATGGGGGTGAGGGTGCGGAGTTGGGTCGATTGCTTGAGAGATGGAAGTTGGAGTGAGCAGAGATTGTACTACCACACTCTGGCCTGGGTGACAATGAGACCCTTTCTTTTTTTTTTATTTTCTGAGATGAGTTTCGTTCTTGTTGCCCAGGCTGGAGTGCAATGGTGCTATCTTGGCTCACGGCAACCTCCGCCTCCTGGGTTCAAGTGATTCTCCTCCCTCAGCCTCCCGAGTAGCTGGGATCACAGGTACCCACCACCATGCCCAGCTAACTTTTGCATTTTTAGTAGAGACAGGGATTCATCACGTTGGCCAGACTAGTCTCGAACTCCTGACCTCAAGTGTGTCATCCTCCCAAAGTGCTGGGATTACAGATGTGAGCCACAGCACCTCACCCAAGACCCTTTCTCACAAAAAAAGAAAAAGGAAAAGAGGCTCTCTGGCACCACTAAAGAACTTACTCATGTAACCAAATGCCAACTGTTCCCCAAAAACCTATGGAAATAAAAAATTTTAAAAAAGAAAAAGAAAGTGGATGTCTGGGCTAGGTGCAGTGAGTGGCTCATGCCTGTAATCCCAGCACTTTGGGAGTGGATCACCTGAGGTCAGGAGTTCAAGTCCAGCCTGGCCAACAAGGCAAAACCCGGTCTTAAAATACAAAAATTAGCCAGGTGTGGTGGCACATACCTGTAGTCCAAGCTATTTGGGAGAAGAATTTCTTGAACCCAGGAGGCGGACGCTGCAGTGAGTCGAGATCACACCACTACACTCACACCTGGGCAACAGAACAAGGCTCCATCTAAAAAAAAAACAAAAACAAAAAAGGAAGTGGATTCCTCAGGGATGTTGAACATGGTTATGTACTACTCATTGTTTAACTTTTACAACTACACTACTGATATGGTTTGGCTGTGTCCCCACCAAATCTCATTTTGAATTGTAACTTCCCATAATCCCTATGTGTAGTAAGAAGGACTCAGTGGGAGGTAATTGAATCATGGGGTGGATGGTTTTATAAGGGACTTTTTCCCCTTTGCTCGGCTTTCATTCTCTCTCCTGCCACCCTGTGAAGAAGTGTCTTCTGCCACGATTCTAAGTTTCCTGAGGCCTCCCCAGCCTTGAGGAACTATGAGTCAGTTAAACCTTTTATGTTTATAAATTACCCAGTCACAGCTGCGTGCAAACAGACTAATACAACTATGTAGTACTTTCATTGTTCCCATGTATAGATAAGAGAATGTACAAAGGTATAAAAGTATAAAGAAACTTGCTTGTGGCCATATACTTACACGAGGTAAGCTAAGGTTAGAACCTAGATCTTCCTCACTCACAAGCTGTGCTTTTAATCACCTTCCCTCCCCTCAAATCACCCAACAATCCAATAAAGATTTCTATGTGCCCAATTATTAGTACCTCCCCAACAGGATAATCAATTCCAACCTTACACTTAAAAAAATTAATTTGAGAGGAAAAAAGTATCTGAGGTTTGGCTCATTAAAATAAATAAGTGAAAAAAATCCTTCCTATTCCCCTGCTGAAGAAAGAATCTAATTGGAGGCAGAGCTGACATTTTAAGTAGTGGCTCTTTAGGCACAAAATAACAAGGGATGCCCCAGCTGAAACCGTTTTTCAAAGCAGCAGATTCTGGTCTGCCAGAAGAGGCAGAGAGACAGAGAGAGAGAGGAGAGACAGAGACAGAGAGAGAGAGAAAGAGAGAGAGAGAGAGAGAATGTTTTTGGATGTTTCTATCATCACTTACCTTCAGTTCACCATCTCAGCAACATGGTTGGATGTTTCCATCAGGCTATACAACCAAGCTTTACACAAGGTGTAATTTGCCTAAATAGTGACCCACCCTGCTGGGGTGGGAGCAATTGCTTCCAGGACCCACATCCATATGGCTCCCACTTAGCCATATGGCCTGCTCACAAAGGATGGCAGAACTATCACCACTCTGTTGTCCAGGCTTTCAGTCCTTTGATTTCCTCTTCATGGGCACTCATGTAAAAAGGGAAGCTATATACCTGTGCATTAAGTGTGTGTCTAAGCATTCAGTGTGTGTCTAAGGGCAGAAGAGTGTGGGTAGGAAACCAGAGACGAGGGAACCTGCGTTCCCCAAACACTCCAGACTTGAATAAGTGGGGTTTTGCAGCAATTGAGTGATTTGAGGGAAAGTGAACATAAAAACCCAAGCCATCAAAGGGAAGATTATCTTACTTAATACCAGTGATACATGTTTTTCTTTCTGCCTCTTAAGTCCAAAGAGGAAAATCAAGACAAGTGGCTTTGGTTGTAAACTTTAAGGTCAAGGATCCTTTCTGTTGAGCTTAGCTCTCAGGTTCTCAGTAGTCAACTGTGTGTGAAACATAATTAATAGCACGATAAATACAAGTTGTGGAAGATTCGACTAAAAGTTGGAGGCCCTCTCCATGGATATCTCTGCAAAGAGCCTGTCATAAAGAGGACTTACTCAACGTTAGCAGGCCTATTTAAAAAAGCATCGTCCATTAAAATTCATTTCTTCTCCAGAGCCTCTTGTTGGAGTTTCTCTGTGTGGGTGTGTTCGTAAGAGAGGAATGGGTGAACCAGTTACTGGGTACAATTTGTGTATCTTCAAGAGAAAACAGCTCTCAATGAGGAAGAACATATGTTTCTGGGACTGCATCTGTGCAAAAAGTACATCGTCCTGAAGTTGTACTAAGAAAAAAAAAACAAACCACACTCTTAAAAAGTCTTTTATTTCACTCATGTCATCTTCTTGGCACATTTCCCCTCATATTGCCCTTTCCGCCTGAGCAAATAGCCCTTTCTTACCCTCAGGTCCAGCAAAACCAGGAAACGTGTCCAACAGTCCGACAAAGCCTGACTAACCAGACATACTACTCACTCGTGGATCCTGAAGACAAGCCTCAGTCCAAGAACAGCAGTAACTCGAGGGCGCACCTGCCTGCAAGGCAGCCCCTCCCTGTATCAAGCGGAAATTCATCCTGCCCAGCGCCGGGCGTGGGCAGAGCGGAGCGCAATCCCAGCAGGCTGTATCCGCCGGGACTTCGACCACGTGCGCGACCCCGGGCGAACCGCGCCCCTCTCCCCACCTCCCCGCGGGCGGGCGGGCTGGTCCAACTCACCAGGTGTCCGCGCGCGCGCAGCGGGGCCCGCCCCCGCCCCGCCCCGCCCCCAGGCCCGAGTGCGCGTGCCCGGCCGGAGCCGCGCCCCCCTCCCCAGGGAAGCCCGGGCGTTCGGCCCTCGAGGACGAGCTCCCCCCAGCCCGGGCCTCTCACCGGCGCGGGGGCGGGCCAGGGGCGGGGCCGGGGCCGGGCGGGGCGGGGCGGGGCTCGCGCCAGAGCCCCCAGCTCCGCCGCTGCTTCGCCCGCGAGTCCTGAGGCAGTCGAGCGGCTTGGTCGCCCCCACCGACCCCATGGCAGCCCCCGGCGCCCCAGCTGAGTACGGCTACATCCGGACCGTACTGGGCCAGCAGATCCTGGGACAACTGGACAGCTCCAGCCTGGCGCTGCCCTCCGAGGCCAAGCTGAAGCTGGCGGGGAGCAACTGCCGCGGCGGCCAGACGGTCAAGAGCCTGCGGATCCAGGAGCAGGTGCAGCAGACCCTCGCCCGGAAGGGCCGCAGCTCTGTGGGCAACGGTGAGTGGAGCCCGCGGCTCCCTGGCGCCGCCTCCTGGCCCGCACCCCGTTACCCCATCCTATCCTGCCCTCACCCCACTTGCTGGGAGTGCAGAACCTGGTGTTCTGCCCACCTGTTGCTCGCCGCCCTCGGTATGACGGGTTTGCTTGTGGAAAGCACTCTTTTCCATAACCTGTTACTTAGCTTTGTCATATAGGTACATATGTATGTTAAATATTGTACATATCTGTCAATGTTAAAGAACTCACTTGGAAATTTAACCCCTTTCTTTTTCTACTCCGCCCGTCCGCACCCCTCGCTGGTGCGGACTGAATTTGGAGGTTCAGGGAGTCGAGCAACACCTTGAGATGCTATGCAGAATTTTGGTATGTACTATCTTTTTCTGGGAGAAGGAGCCCTTCTTCACTTTTATTAGATTCTTTAAATAGTTAATGACCCCCATAAATATCTTGAAAAAGAAAACCCGACAGCACAGGTGCTCCTACAACCTATAAATTGGGATTGTGCTGTTTTGTGCAAGTACTTCGGGGCGCTCCAAGTGTAGGAGGCGAGTGGTGGATCTAAGGAGTGAAAAAAGTGGCTAGGAGGCTTTGGTCCTGGGAACAAACACGCCCAGGAGAAAGGGGACTTTGGCCCTGCCGGCAACACCCCTGCCCTCCTGGCTGCGCTTCCCACCCCCACCAATGCGGGCGTGGTGCAAGGCTGACCCTCCAAAAAATTAAACATGGAGGTGAAAGGGGTGTAAGCACACACACGCATACTATGTCTGTGATCGATAGACGGGGGAGGTGGAAGGGCAAGAAGATGGCAAGCCACTTGTGAAAATTAGGGAACATGATGTATCCTTTTCTCCTCTGCTAAAGTCAGGTGATCGATCAACTCAGTAACTCTTGTTGTGCGTGTGAGTTTGCATTATAAAAGCACTATGTTGGCTTACTATAGCAAAAAGTTTTAAAGAAGAGGAAAGAAATTGAGTAATTAAGTTGGAATATCTGTTTCCTCCATGTTCAACTGTTTCTGTATGAAGTAACTTGTGCATTGGTGAATGTAGGCTAACCCATTCTAATTTCTATTAGGAAAATAGAAAAATCCTAACAGGCCAGACCACAGTTTTAGAACAGTAGAGTCTGGGAGGCTATACTGTTTATATAAACGAATCCTAAAGAATCAGGTAGTCAATGATTATATATTAGAAAGGTATAGAGAAGATGTTCAAAGATTGTAGTTAATATAACTGAGTGCCTACTATGTGCCAAGAACTGGGCAATGTAGTTTGCATTCATTTTATATGTGTGTGTGTGTGTGTGTGTGTGTATTAATTTTATATATATATATATACAGTTTGTATTTAAAAACTTGTAATGAGCTAGGTATTTCAATCCTCATTTTACAGATAAGGAAACTAAGCAGTTAAGTAACACTTAAGTTCTCATAGATGGTAACTGGCAGAGTTGGTATTTAAACTCCCAAACGTGAATTTTAAACCTCTTAGCAGTTTTATCATTAAGTTTTAAAATTATTAATACAAAATGGGATTTATTAGATGCTAAGCCTCTCGGTGGCCCCCTTCCATTTTTCTCTAAATAAAATTTAGGATGTTCTGAAAAGCTGGGGAGGTCTAGACAACACAGAACTGCCACAATACCTGGGGGGGAAAGACCTTAAATTTAGACTTAGGTGTCTGACCAAAGACTACGGGATGACTGAGGCCAATCTTTGACCCGTGGAGCCATTACACCCATTCAAACTAAAACCAAACCAGCTTCCTCCACGTGAGGAACACAGGAGGCATGTTAGTTATTCTTTCTTATCCTTTGAGAATGGCCAGCCAGGAAGAACAAGCAGATACAACTATTCCTAAATGGAGGGAATGGAGCCATGAACAGAAGAAAAGGGAATGTTGCTGGGCATCTATATACTTTGTGCCTATTCCAGAATCTTTATTATATCCTTAAAACAATTGTGTGAGATAGGTATGAGAATCCATCTCACATATGAAGTATTTGTCTGTCAGCATTTGTTGGAAGTGTAATCCCAGCTCCATACATAATCTGTTCTCTCTACAGTATAATGCATCAGTTGTGTGGTGAATTCAGCAAGCATCAGATGAGCATGTTCTTCATACAGGGTACTGTGCAGGTGCTGAATTAAACACAAAGACTCTGCTTGCTTTAAGCAAGAAGTTGAAAGTCTAAGGAAGGAGGCCAACCTCTAGAAAAATACTTTACCAAATAAAAAGTAGTAAGTGACCCAAAAGAATAGCTAGTGTATTATGGAGTTTAGAAGTATAAATTGTTTGGACGTGGTAGTTCGTGTCTGTAATCCCAGCACGTTGAGAGGCTAAGGTGGGTGGATCATCTAAGGTCGGGAGTTCAAGACCAGCCTGACCAACATGGAGAAACCCTATCTCTACTCGGAATACAAAATTAACCAGGCATAGTGGTGCATGCCTGTAATCTCAGCTACTCAGGAGGCTGAGGCAGGAGAATCTCACTTGAACCTGGGAGGCAGAGATTGCAGTAAGCAGAGATTATGCCATTGCAATCCAGCATGGACAAAACTCCTTCTCAAAACAAAAAACAAAAAGCTCATGCCTGTAATCCCAGCACTTTGTGAGAGTGAGGTGGGAGGATCATGAAGTCAGGAGATCGAGACCATCCTGGCCAACCATGGTGAAACTCCATCTCTACTAAAAATAAAGAATTAGCTGGGTGTGGTGGCATGTGCCTGTACTCCCAGCTACTCAGGAGGCTGAGGGAGAAGAATCACTTGAACCCTGGAGGCAGAGGTTGCAGTGAGCCGAGATTGCGCCACTGCACTCCAGCCTGGCTACCGAGAGAGACTCTGTCTCAAAAAAAAGCTGTTAAGTTACTCCTAGTGGCAGGAAATTTTGAAAAACTTCCTGGATGTAGATCTCAGAAATTCCGTAGGACTGGACAGAGGGAGGTGATTGGAGGAAGATCACTCTAGGAGGGAACGGAATGAATATTTCACAGTTCACAGAGTTGATATGGTAGAACAAAGGGTACTATCTTGGTCCTTCTGCTATAATGCTTAGGGCAACTACTTGACTGGCTCTTCCAACTAAGGAAGAAAGCCTTTGAAATATTTTGATTGCAACAGCAGCTTCCCAGCAAGCTGAAATACACTCTGCAGCCTACACAGAAGTACAAATCAGGCAGAGAGATAAGGCAGCAAACAACACCTACTTACTTTAAAGCCTCAGCTTTCTGAGACTCAAAAAGGAAATCAGCTTCAAAGGAATTTAACATTAGCATGCCATGAAACAATTACCAGGGGTGGTTCGTATATATTCTTTAATTAAAGTTCTTTGAAAAGGTCTGGGGGCTTATGGTGGTTCTCAGTATAATTTTTATTTTCATATTACTATCCTGTCTCTCAAGTTGAAACACACAAGCAATTGTTGAAACAGTACTGGTCTGGAAAAAAATCCTGTATCAACACAAGACATTCCAGGAAAAAAAAGACCCTGATGTTAACTCCTGTTAGCTTCAGGCCCCTGGAGAATTCTGTGTTGTTGACAAACCTGTAAGGTTGAGACAATGGATAAGCTGCTGAAAACAAAGATGAGATAAATGTGGCTGATTTGTTGATAAGTATCTTGCAAGGTTCCTTCACCCTTTGACTTCTTTCTAATGCCTTAGTATAGCTGGGTGATTTTCATTGTAAATCACTCAGTGACTTTTGGTGTTATTTTTAACTGTGCTGAACATTTTAAAGTTGGCTGTAACTCTTTGGGAAGGGGGCCTTCAGAGGTGTATAGCAGCATTGTGAAGGAAGTCTGTGTTGTAGCTAATAGTTAAAATCTTTTTCTAAAAGAAACAGAAGACATTTAAGAATTGTAAGTATTGGCAAAAGGAAAAATTAGAAATGTCCTTATCCTATTTATTACACTTGCCTTAAAAGTACTGTTTGTTACACAGTTCCTCTCCTGGGGTACCTGAGTAGGTAGAAAGTTGTGTTTTAAATTGTTGTATTTACCACTTATAAAGCACAGTGAACAATCCCGTAATGCAATTTACAACATCTTTGGAAATCCACCATAAAACTTGAAACACACTGTTATCTTAGGTGATTTTCCTGATGAAGCTGCTTTTAAATATCTGTGATCAAAGTGAATTCTGGGCCGGGTGCTGTGACTCATGTCTGTAATCCCAGCACTTTGGGAGGCCAGGACGGGTGGATCACCTGAGGTCAGGAGTTTTGAGACCAGCCTGGCTAACATAGTGAAAACACATCTCTACTAAAAATACAAAAAATTGGCCAGGTGTGATGGCGCATGCCTGTAATCCCAGCTACTAGGGAGGCTGAGTCAGGAGAATCACTTGAACCGGGGAGTCAGAGGTTGCAGTGAGCCAAGATCGTGCCACTGTACTCCAGCCTGGGCAACTGAGCGAGACTCATCTCAAAAAAAAAAAAGTGAATTTGGGAGAGAGAATTGAAAATTGGCTCAGGGTAGCAAAAGAAAGGTAGTAACTAGGTGCTACTGTTTAAAAAAAAGTAAGACATTGTTCAAACTCTGCATAAATTCTTCCTTTGACAAAAGGAATCCCAGGAATGAAGCAATTCTGGGGAGCAAGGTGACTAAAGTAGGAGGGATCAGGAAAGCGGGGGTGGGGGAGTGGGGAGTGAGATGGCCAGTGGCAGGGCCTTGGGGCTGCTGCTCTGAATGTGAGGTGTCAGTAGCACACTGGATTGAATGTACCTCTGTGTCTGTGTAATACAGCCTGTGAGCCACTTTTTGTCCAGTGCCAAGCCGATAGAGTTCGGTAAGCCCAAAAGAATTATGTGGTGGTCTTTTGTTTTTATTTTTAAAGACAGTCTTCTGATTACAGTAAGTCATATGAAATAATGTTAACAACATGGTGGTTACAAAAAAAAAAAACTTCACACCCCTAGAAATGTTGAGAACACATATTTTAGGGGTGAAGTTTTGTTTCAGGGTAAAGTAAGGGTGCTTCAGAATCCATGGAACTGT